GTTAGTTAGTTAGTTAGTTAGTAGTTAGTTAGTTAGTTAGTTAGTTAGTTAGTTAGTTAGTTAGTTAGTTAGTTAGTTAGTTAGTTAGTTAGTTAGTTAGTTAGTTAGTTAGTTAGTTAGTTAGTTAGTTAGTTAGTAGTTAGTTAGTTAGTTAGTTAGTTAGTTAGTTAGTTAGTTAGTTAGTTAGTTAGTAGTTAGTTAGTTAGTTAGTTAGTTAGTTAGTTAGTTAGTTAGTTAGTTAGTAGTTAGTAGTTAGTTAGTTAGTTAGTTAGTTAGTAGTTAGTTAGTTAGTGTTAGTTAGTTAGTTAGTTAGTTAGTTAGTAGTTAGTTAGTTAGTTAGTTAGTTAGTTAGTTAGTTAGTTAGTTAGTTTTAGTTAGTTAGTTAGTTAGTTAGTTAGTTAGTTAGTTAGTTAGTTAGTTAGTTAGTTAGTAGTTAGTTAGTTAGTTAGTTAGTTAGTTAGTTAGTAGTTAGTTAGTTAGTTAGTTAGTTAGTTAGTTAGTTAGTTAGTTAGTTAGTTAGTTAGTTAGTTAGTTAGTTAGTTAGTTAGTTAGTTAGTAGTTAGTTAGTTAGTTAGTTAGTTAGTTAGTTAGTTAGTTAGTTAGTTAGTTAGTTAGTTAGTAGTTAGTTAGTAGTTAGTTAGTTAGTTAGTAGTTAGTTAGTTAGTTAGTTAGTTAGTTAGTTAGTTAGTTAGTTAGTTAGTTAGTTAGTTAGTTAGTTAGTTAGTTAGTTAGTTAGTTAGTTAGTTAGTTAGTAGTTAGTTAGTTAGTTAGTTAGTTAGTAGTTAGTTAGTTAGTTAGTTAGTTAGTTAGTTAGTTAGTTAGTTAGTTAGTTAGTTAGTTAGTTAGTTAGTTAGTTAGTTAGTTAGTTAGTTAGTTAGTTAGTTAGTTAGTTAGTTAGTTAGTTAGTTAGTTAGTTAGTTAGTTAGTTAGTTAGTTAGTTAGTTAGTTAGTTAGTTAGTTAGTTAGTTAGTTAGTTAGTTAGTTAGTTAGTAGTTAGTTAGTTAGTTAGTTAGTTAGTTAGTTAGTTAGTTAGTTAGTTAGTTAGTTAGTTAGTTAGTTAGTTAGTTAGTTAGTTAGTTAGTTAGTTAGTTAGTTAGTTAGTTAGTTAGTTAGTTAGTTAGTTAGTTAGTTAGTTAGTTAGTTAGTTAGTTAGTTAGTTAGTTAGTTAGTTAGTTAGTTAGTTAGTAGTTAGTTAGTTAGTTAGTTAGTTAGTTAGTTAGTTAGTTAGTTAGTTAGTTAGTTAGTTAGTTAGTTAGTTAGTTAGTTAGTTAGTTAGTTAGTTAGTTAGTTAGTTAGTTAGTTAGTTAGTTAGTTAGTTAGTTAGTTAGTTAGTTAGTAGTAGTTAGTTAGTTAGTTAGTTAGTTAGTTAGTTAGTTAGTTAGTTAGTTAGTTAGTTAGTTAGTTAGTTAGTTAGTTAGTTAGTTAGTTAGTTAGTTAGTTAGTAGTTAGTTAGTTAGTTAGTTAGTTAGTTAGTTAGTTAGTTAGTTAGTTAGTTAGTTAGTTAGTTAGTTAGTTAGTTAGTTAGTTAGTTAGTTAGTTAGTTAGTTAGTAGTTAGTTAGTTAGTTAGTTAGTTAGTTAGTTAGTTAGTTAGTTAGTTAGTTAGTAGTAGTTAGTTAGTTAGTTAGTTAGTTAGTTAGTTAGTTAGTTAGTTAGTTAGTTAGTTAGTTAGTTAGTTAGTTAGTAGTTAGTTAGTTAGTTAGTTAGTTAGTTAGTTAGTTAGTTAGTTAGTTAGTTAGTTAGTTAGTTAGTTAGTTAGTTAGTTAGTTAGTTAGTTAGTTAGTTAGTTAGTTAGTTAGTTAGTTAGTTAGTTAGTTAGTTAGTTAGTTAGTAGTTAGTTAGTTAGTTAGTTAGTTAGTTAGTTAGTTAGTTAGTTAGTTAGTTAGTTAGTTAGTTAGTTAGTTAGTTAGTTAGTTAGTTAGTTAGTTAGTTAGTTAGTTAGTAGTTAGTTAGTTAGTTAGTAGTTAGTTAGTTAGTTAGTTAGTTAGTTAGTTAGTTAGTTAGTTAGTTAGTTAGTTAGTTAGTTAGTTAGTTAGTTAGTTAGTAGTTAGTTAGTAGTTAGTTAGTTAGTTAGTTAGTTAGTTAGTTAGTTAGTTAGTTAGTTAGTTAGTTAGTTAGTTAGTTAGTTAGTTAGTTAGTTAGTTAGTTAGTTAGTTAGTTAGTTAGTTAGTTAGTTAGTTAGTTAGCACAATAGAACTCCAACTACTAATCCAACGAAGTCATACAAAAGGTCTACAAAAGACATTTTTCTATAGAAAAGATTCTAAATGAAGAAACAGGAAAGAGTTTACATGTTCAGTTCCCTAGGGCAAAACACTTTTAAAAACTTTCCTGTTACACTTTCCTATAGAAAAAATGTACATTGTATGTATATTAATATTTTCCTACAGAAAAGCTAAGTTCAAAAAAGAATTTTTTCCTTTAACAAAAAAAAAATACATTTATATTGAAAAGTAGCTCATTTGCAAACTTAAATTAATCTAAAATATCCAATATAAAATTTAAATTTTAAACCAATCTGAAAAAAGAAATAAAACACAAAACCTGTTTTCATGTTGTTTATAATTGGAATTGAAAAATTTTAAATATTTTTAACATGCATATAGTTAAAAAAAAGAGCTTCAAGTACCAAATACTATTTGGATACAAGAGTCTTAGTTTCGTTTTTTTTTTTTTTTTTCTATATCGTGATAGACAATTTCGTTAAATCATAAATGCAGGTGCTGTTTATAAACCGAATAAAACTCCAACATATTTAAACTATTTTAAGATTTACATATTAAATTGTATGCGGGCAAGTGTTTGTCTCTTACAAAATTTTTTTATTAATTAAACTACTTAATTATAAGCTGACTTTAAACTTGTTAATGATTTTGAGAGAGAAAAAATCAAATATTACAACTTGAAAGATTTCAATTAATTAATTTAAAGCCTATTATGCATAAATTAATTATTCGAGGGTATTACACCAAAGTTTATGTTTATTTATCATGATTTCAAAATGAATTAGACTTAATTATAAAATTTTAGTAGTTTTATTAAGTCAAAATTGTTTGAGATGAAGTTTAATTACTTATAACGGTTTAGCCTTATATTATTATTGCCAACCTGAAGTTTTTGTGGTGAATTAAGCTCTAAGGTGAATAAAGATTAAAATGGCAAGGTTAAATGTAGTGAACACAGCCAAGACAAAGTTGCATTTAGTTAGTATTCAATAGTAACGTTATTTTCATTCAAAATTTTATAAATTCATACATGTTTATAACACATAATAGTTGTAATAGAGAGATGTCATCATTATAAACCTTTCTATTGAAAAGTGTCTAGAGAAGATATTTTTCTATTGAAAAGTTAAAAAAATACATTTTCAATTAAAAAGATTTCAAAAGTTGGCAATTTTCTTTTAAGAGGTCACTACTTTAGAGCGCTGATTGTTAGGGTTCTATAAATCGACTTTCGAATAATCGAACAATCGACTTTTTGTCGAAAAAAGTCGAAGTCGACTATTTTGTTCCAAAAAAGTCGAAAAGTCGAAAGAGGTCAGAAAAAGTCGAAAATAGTAGAAAGAAGTCAAAAATAGTCGAAAATTTTAAATAAGTGGAAAAAAGTCAAAAACTCTAAAAAAAGTAAAAAAATAGTCGAAAGAAGTCGAAAATAGTCAAATAGAAAAAAGTCGAAAAGTCGACTATTTATAAAATACTAAAAAACGAAAACTCTAAAAGTCGACAAGTCGATAACTCGACCATCGTCTATGAAAAAAGTCGAAAAGTCAAAAAAAGTCGAAAAGTCGAAAATAGTAGAAAGAAGTCAAAAATAGTCGAAAATTTTAAATAAGTGGAAAAAAGTCAAAAACTCTAAAAAAAGTAAAAAAAATAGTCGAAAGAAGTTGAAAATAGTCAAATAGAAAAAAGTCGAAAAGTCGACTATTTATAAAATACTAAAAAACGAAAAGTCTAAAAGTCGACATTTAATTAAATTAAAAAAGTCGAAAAATCGACTTTTCATAAAATGCAAAAAGTCGAAAAGTCGACTTTTCGTTTCAACTATAGAACTCTACTGATTGTTACCTTAATTATAAGTTGGTAACACTGCTTTATAGTTGACAAAAAACATAGCATATTCTTAGGAAAGACAAATTCCAATGATCTTGAAAAAGTTCATATAACGGAATTCGTGATGAATTTCTTTTCTAGTTTTTAAAATTCACCACAAGGTTCAAACAAAGTTATTGCGTGATGTGGAAGGGAAATGGGGCCAATAGTCCCACCGACCTATTTCTCAATAGGGAGGTGCCATACTTAGAGACGTTTCTATAGAAAATACATTTTTCTATTGCAACTTTTCTAAAAAATACTTTTTTTTTTAATTTATCGAAAAATTTATAAATTGACTTTTCTAAGTCTAAAATCGTGAACTGATCCTGTTTTAATATACTTTTGAAAGAATATTTTGATTGTAGAGGCCAAAAAGTATATGGATGTTCTTACTATGTCCTCCCGTAACAGTTTTTAATATCGATTTTGTAGATCAATATCAGTTATTCAACGCTTTTCTTAATATATAGTGTACTTTATTAGGAACAGACAGAAAGTAGATTAATTAAAAGTTAATTTTTTAGCGTCCTAACTGTAAGGATCGCATTATAACATAAATATTAAAAATGTAATCAAAAATGGAACAAACAATTCAAAAACGACGAACCTTTAAAAAAAGTTTATATAAGAAAGAGATCCAACAATTTAAAATTGTAAAAAGTCTAAAAAAATCAATCGACTCCTTATAAAATTTGAATTTTTGTTTCAAGTATAATATTTTATTATAGATTCGTTATATATTACATTTAATTTTAATATACGTTTCATTTTCTACAACACCCCACTATTGCTGTGTAAACCCAACTAAAATTCCCTAGTACTTATGAATACAACTCTGCTTGCATGTATTTTTTGATAGAAGCTGTCAAGTGGTGAGAAATGTTTTTTTTTGCTTTTTAGTTCGATGTCGTTTCATTTGCTCGCCTCCTCTCGTCTGTTAGTGAAAAAAACTAAAGTAAAAATATATTTTATTTGCAAAAAAATTATTATACATAATTTATTAAATTAAACATTTTAAAATGAAACAAACTGCAGTTGGTGGCTAATACAGCATAAATAATAGGCAAAAAGAAATTGAAATAAACACGAAAACAAAAACGTATACGACGAAGAAAAAAATAATCGAATTATTTATAATCGACCACAGAAAAACAAACAAGTCTTTTGCAAAGAATCGAAGAAATTTGTGAAAAAAGTACAAGATAAAACAAATCATAAAATTGCATAAAACGTTAAAAAGCGATTTTAAAGAAAAAAATCGCAAAAAAAATCAATTAAATTATTCATTAAAAATTTACGGTTTGGTTGTTTGCTTGCTGTGTGTGTGTGAGAGAATTCCAAATATTGTATTGTCACCTTGAAATCATTTTTTTTAAATTTGTGTTTCTATTTTTTATATATTTTGTGTGTGTTTCTTTTTTTAAGTCGAGATTTGTGTTTGTTTTTTACCCCCCACCCTACTTGCTGCTGCTAATGTGTTCGTTGGTATTACATGGTCGCCGCAACATTTGGAACCCCTTAAAAAAAAGTAGAAAAAACATAAAGCAGGTGCTGAAATATAAAGCAGTGATTAACAAATTACTTGTTTTTTGTGATATTGGTGGATATTTCAATTTTTTCGTTATCATATCTCAGGCGTTATCAATTTATGGCAACAAATCCAAAAAACAACAACTGCGAATAGCTATTGCAATTAAGTTGGGGACACTTACAATTTGTGCTTTTTTTTTTTTTTCTTATTCCAAAAGTATTTTATTTACTTTATATGTTTTTTTTTACTATTGTTGTGTCTGTGGCTGAGTTTGTATTTGTCTTTTCTTTTTTGCTGATTGTTTTGGGTGACTCAACAGCTGCTTTAGTGAGTCTGCTGGTCGGTCAGTCAGTCATTTATTGTTTAATAATAACACCGCCCTGCTTCTACAACATATTCAGTTGTTACTAAAGTTGTTGCTGATTATTGTCATCAACATAAATTTATTTATTATTACGTATTGCTGCCGTTTCCCTTAATAGTTGTTTTTTTACAGCAACAGCTGTTTATTTATAGTTTTTTTCTTTATTTTTTTTTGTAGTATTATTAATTATTTGTGCAATCCCAGTTTCATTCATTAAATTTTAAAATTCAGCTTTAAAGTTTTCCGTTTAAGTGTGGTCAACTTAATACAAATGTTACCTTCTCATTTTTATAAAAAAACTGTTTATTTTAAGTTTTGGAATCATTGATGACCTGGTTTGCAAAACAAAGTGTAATATCTAAAAGCATGACTCATTAAATTTTCAGTTGTAAATAGTTATAAATTTACATTTCTTTTGTCAAACTAACTTGTATGTAACTAAGAAGAAAGGTTTTTTGGCTAAAACGTTGTAGTCGACACTTTATGAATTGATAGTTCTAAAGTCCATATAAAAACATACTACTGAATCCTTGAAATTTTAGAAATATTAAAATTGTTTTACCTCTAAGAAGTCTCATGCTCTTTAGAGCATGGTAGTAGTATATTCAAAGAAGTCTTTCGACAAACCCCCTAAAATCTTGGCATAAACATCAGGTAGAGTGAAACCCCCCTAATGTAATATCCGTTTCACTACAATCGTGTCCGTCATAGTTACTGAAAGCAGTAGCATCTATTCTTTATTTCCTCGATAGTTCTGTGTGATTCTCCTACTTTCTGCCGGACCACACACGCAGTAAGAAGATATTAGATAACTCGAATACTTGAGCAAAGTACTTGTACATAGACCGGCGAAATCATGTACAAAACTTGTCACCCGCATATTAGTAATGCACACAAAGGGCCGGTGGTGAGTAGTCTTAAAAGTACCAGCGTGAAATAAGGCCGTATGACAACTGTTCATGTAAAGCACTTTGACTTACATATGTCTGCAACCTTGACCTTAAAAATGTTTCTATAGATCGTGATCCAAAAGTTTTAAGTAGTCCCCTTCTTCTTTGATCAATCTCTCGATGATAAATCTTTAATATTAAAAAAATGGGGAATTTTCTTTCATGTCACTTTTAGTTGATTCAATTCCTGGACTGAATAATTCATGAATTAGTCTTTGTAATAGTATATTGACGAGCTTATGAAATACTTAACTATGTACTGGTCAGTTCACTTGACTAGCCTATGGATTAGGCTATTGTTTAGTCTATGGATTACTTTATAGTCAAGTTTGTTGGCTGGTCTATAGATTAGTTATTGACTAGCCTGTGGTCCAATCTATAGACTAGATAATGGATTAGTGTATTGAATAGTTTATGAACTAGTCTATGTACTAGTCTATTGACTAGTTTATGGAATAATCTATTGACTAGTCTATGGACCGGCCAATTCATTAGTCTAGATTAGATTGGTCTATAGATTAGTCAATAGACTGGACTTTGGATTAGTCTATTGTCTAGTCTACGGATTATTCTATTGGAATATTATATTGTCTAGTCTATGGACTAGTCTATAGACCAGACTATGGATTAGTATAATGAGAAGTTTATGAATTAGTCTTCTAGTCTATTGACTAGTTTATAGAATACTCTATTGACTAGTCAATAGACTAGTAAATAGATTAGTTTTTAACATAGTCCCTTAGCCTGAGTCTATTTTAGTTCTTAGCTAAATATTTTTTGTACAAGACATTTTTTTCCAATTTGGAAACTCTCCTAGTGAATGTAAGACCAAAACTATTTTCTATATTTAAATAGATAATAAATGCACTTCATTTTAAAGTCCAACATTTGCAATATTATTAATTTAAAACCGTATCTAATTTCTCCAAACAACTTGATTATATCACACATGCATCATCCATCCAACTATTCCATCCATTTATTTTATAAATTACCAACATTATTGTCTAATGAAAATAAATCGTAACCGCACCTCTATGCAATTGTTTTATTTATTTTATACTAATTTAATAATGTTCTTAATAAATTTATTTTCATATTCTCTTTTTTATTTTCGAAATTAGTTTTGAAAACACAACAACAATAAACGTTGTCAACGTTATAAAACGTTTAAAGTGATTGAGCGAGTGTGTAGTTCATGAGTGTGCGTATGTCTCATTGTGGATTTTTTTAAATAAATCACATATAAATTATTGTATTAAAAAAAAAAAAACAATTTAAAACTTTTATAAAATATACATATAAAAAAATTAATACTACAAATATATAATACAAATTAAGCTCAAATGAGCAGAAATATGCGACCACCACAGGAAGGAGGTCAGTCAGCACCTCCTACCATGCGGCCAAAACTTAATGCATCTAGTTCTCTGCTGACACCAGATGAAAATGAGGCTGTCTTTCGTATGTTGGGGCGTAAATGTCAG